TTTTGCCGTACGCGGGCCTCTCACTGCTGTGGCCTCTCCCGTTGCGGAGCACAGGCTCTGGACGCGCAGGCTCAGCGGCCATGGCTCATGGGCCCAGCCGCTCCGCGGCATGTGGGATCTTCCCAGACTGGGGCACGAACCCATGTCCCCTGCATTGGCAGGCAGACTCTCAACCACTGCACCACCAGGGAAGCCCACAACTTACTTTTAAATGGTTCGTGAGTGAGAGAGGGAGAGAGAAAATCTAGAGATAAAGCTAAAAATGACAAAAGATTAATAACTATAGAATTTAATAATTATAGAATTATGTGTGCTCATTGTATCATTCTTTCAACTTTTTTGAATGTTTGAAAATGTTTATAATACAAGGTTAGAAGACAATAGTTAAAAATAAATAAAATTACATCAACTGTTACCAGAATTTATTGCATAATTTTGTGATAGCAATGGTAGACTAGTAGTCTATTCAGATCAATTAATTATCGATATTATTTTTAAAACGTACTTGATAAATATTTATTGAATGAATGAATGTAAGTTAACAAACCACTAAAGTATAGATTTGTACAGGAAGTCAATTCCAAGTTTTAAAAAATGTGAATACATAGACCGTTAAATTGACTTTGCACTTTGTGGTGTGCACAGTGAAAGGGGCGACATGGTCTGTTATGTAGCAAACACTGGAGCCTTAAGTACTTTCTGGATGAGAAGAGGAGTGGGGAATAGCCAAATAAATAATATTGACAGATAATTTCTTAGTTCTTATTGATCAAGAAGAGAAAACATACCAGTTCCTCACAGCAAGCAAAGCATTTCATGTCATTTAGCACTAAAAGGAGTTTCTCCTGTGGGTCTGCATTTGGGGATGCTAGGTGGGATAGTGGGCAGGGCCTTCAGGAGTGTTCTGTCAGCAGTACAGCCTCAGCTTCCACAAGGCTGTCTCTTGTACCCCTTCCAATGGGAGAGCTGTGGAATTGCACTGATTGTAACCCAGGGTCCAGTCTGGGTTCACACTGAACATAACCCAGTCTGGGTACACGTTTGTTCTGGTACTGACTTGTTCTAAGGACAGATCCTGGGCTCTGGGGCACGTGGCTTTCAAACTGTTCTCAGACTTTAAGGGTCTGTAAGGTGCCTCTGGCAGTGGAGGGGAGGCTGGGTAGGGTACAGTGCGGAAAGAGCCTGCCCCCAACCTACCTTGCTGTTGTCCATTTTGCAGACAGGAGTTTTGCTTTAGAATAAAGAATTTTTATTCCTGAAGAAGTTTGAATTGTACTTGTTTAGATGGTTGCATAGCCTTCAAGCAACCCTTCACAGATCACACTGTCCTCAGCGCAGCTGTTGCAGAGAGTTCATAATTAGGACCTATGATGAGGGCCTGGAGTGTGGTCCTCTGTGTGGAGGTCCTGCATTGATGGAGGCTAATCTAATTTTGTTAGCAATCACACTAGGAAATGGAAGGTAACATCCCCTCTTGGAACTCAGGGAGCCTAACAGCAATCTCCCTGAGGTGTGCTGAGGGGAAGGAGCTGGTTCTCGGGAAGCATAGTGTTTTACTAGGAGGAAAAAAAAAATTTAGCATCAGAATAAAATGTTCATGATGGTTTCAAACAGTAGAGTCTAAGACTCTGAGCCCTAGCTTTGAACTGCTGCAGTTTTAACAATTTATCCCTCCACCTCCGTTTCTAGTCCCAGAAAGAAAACAACTTCAGATGTGAGGTTGGGTTCTTCAGAACTTATTCAGTAATTTCTTTGAGTTTTTTTATCAGGTAAAGGATGATGACAACCAACATACTAAAATTCAGTATTTGGAGAAAAATTTTATTTTGGGACACACATAGTGAGAAATGCTCTTTATGGCATTAGTACATTTTTCATTTGCACTACACAAAGTAAATACAGTATTTCTGTGTGTCTGTTTTAATCCCTGGATAATTAGTTTTTATGTGTTCATAATTAGATTAAGCTATACAGAAAGTGCTGTTTTATAGGTCAAAAATGGCCAAATATTGTCAACTTCATATAGTTCAACCTAATAATACTAAAAAATATTGTTTTGTTGTGTTTAAAATAAACTGGAAATGATGGGGGCCCATAGACCTAGAGAATAATTTATTATTTTTTTTCTTCTTTGAAACAGAAAAAATGCCTGTCTTGAAGGCTGAAGCATCCCATTATAATGCTGACCTAAATAACTTGCTGTTCTGCTGCCAGTGCGTGGACGTGGTATTTTACAACCCAGATTTAAAGGAAGTGGCTGAGGCCCACAAGATCGTTCTCTGTGCCGTCAGCCATGTTTTCATGCTGCTTTTCAATGTGAAGAGTCCTGCTGACATTCAGGATTCCAGTATCATCCGAACTACCCAGGATCTCTTTGCTATAAACAGAGATCCTGCGTTTCCAGGTGCTAGCCAGGAGTCTCCAGGCAACCCACCCTTACGAGTCATTGTAAAAGATGCCCTCTTCTGTTCTTGTTTATCGGACATTCTGCGCTTCATTTATTCAGGTATCTTGTCAAATGGTTCTGGCACATTCTCATAAGCTTTTGAAATGAAGTATGGCCTGTGGTCTCAGGTATACTGGTTGGTTTCACATTTCTCTTCTTCCTACCATCTGAGGTGACGATTATACGTGGAGTAGTATTTGCTTTATCGATAGGAATTGGTCCAAGCTTTCTGTCTCTTTACAAGTTTCCTTGCCTTGGTTTTAAATCTACTTGTAAAAACAATAATCTCTTTTCCTATTGAACAGCTATGTCAGTACTTTATTTTTAAAAAACTCCAAAATGTGAAAATACAAGAATTTATTGTCCAGTTTAACTTTAAAGAAATAAAATACTTCAAGTATATATGAAAATAAGTGTCTTTAGCTACTTATTCATTTGTTTTGTTTGTTTGACCCAGATTTTGGAGGGAATTGAGGAGAGAAGTTAGCATGGTCATTGCCTTCAGTTTGGCAACTAGAAACAGTTGCTAAAGTTAGTCTAAAGTTAGTTCAAGCTGAGATCTGATCAACTTTGACTATGATTATTTTAGACTTTACTTCTTTTATTTACTGTGCTCTTTGTAAGATTCAGCTTATCAGTTGTTTTTCTTCTTGTCCTTTAAAAAACCGAGTAGCATGTATATTCTAAAAATTAGACTCTTTATGAGTTATTTTAGCAGATGAACTAAAGGTCTCACATCTAAGTGTCCTATATAAGAATGGAAAAGAATGGATGTAAAGTGATTTTTAAGCATCTAAATATACATTTTCTGAAGATTTCTCTCTTTTTAAAAAAATTATTTATGGCTGCGTTGGGTCTTCGTTGCTGCGCGCGGGCTCTCTCTAGTTGCAGTGAGCGGGGACTACTCTTCATTGCGGTGCGTGGGCTTCACTTGTCGCGGAGCACGGGCTCTAGGCGCGCAGGCTTCAGTAGTTATGGCACATGGGCTCAGTAGTTGTGGCTCACGGGCTCCAGAGCGCAGGCTCAGTAGTTGTGGTGCACGGGCTTAGTTGCTCCGTGGCATGTGGGATCTTCCCGGATCAGGGCTTGAACATGTGTTTCCTGCATTGGCAGGTGGATTCTTAACCATGGTGCCACCAGGGAAATCCCAGATTTCTCTCTTCTTTTTCTTTTTCTCCTTGGAATCATGTGCTGATGAATTATTAGGTTGAAGTCGATCCTTCTCTGCAACGTGTCGGGAGAAACATTTATGATCTGTTTTTTGACTTCAGAATTGGAGATTGATGGCAAGTTTATAAAAGTTTGCAAATAAAGAAAAAAGTATTATTTAGCATCAAAGATTTGGGTAGCCTTCAGTTGAAATGATGATTGATGTTAAGATTTCCCTTTTTTTCATTTGGGTTGTTTTTAGTTTTAAAAGTTAAAATAAAAATTAATGGTTGTGAAAAATACAGTGGCAGCGTGCAGATTTAAGTGGATTAAAAATATACGTATTGGAGTAGAATGTGATGGTAGGCATTAAATCCATTGTTCAGTGAATATTGGCTTGGAAACGGCATAAATGACCACTCCTAGAGAGCATACCAGCACAGTGCCTTCAGCGTGGAGGCTTCTCTGTAAGTGCTGGTTGAACTAGTGAGTAGACTCTAGTAGCCGTGAATCATCATATGAATAAACCAGATAAGTTAGAGACTTCATTTAGTACTACGGATTTTTATGGTTAAACTTAGAATCTCACAGTTCAGAATTTAACACTAATTTTGAAAAACCAAAATGTTTACCTGTTAAAGAAAAAAATGTCTTTAATGATGTGTCAGAGAACCATGAAGGAAGTGTTTGGCTTTTCTTTTCAATGAGTTTGCTGTTGAAATTATAAATTATTTAGCAAGTTTGCCACAGTATCCATTAAATACTTTCAAAGGCACACAAACACTTTGAGGTCAGTTTTATCCTCTTTAATATGGTAGCAGTAAAATAGCTAGATGTCTCTCCAGTGACAGAACCTGCTTGTCTTTCTCCTAGGGAGTAATTTTTTTTTTAATTGTAAAATTAATACTTGCAGATGGAAAAAAGGGGGAAAGAAAAGAAAAAGTTATCCTCATCCCCCAGTCCCCTTCCCCAGAGTCCATTATAACTTTTTCATGTGTTCACGCTAATGCTTTTTGAAAGAAATTAATATATTGAGAAACTTGCATTAATGAAAATGTAATTTTTGGTGAGTGCTGTTTTCTGGGAACCACAGGTAGTTTCCATGGCTGGAGCACAGAGTGGGAGGTGATGGCTGGAAGGAGCTGAGGCTGGCAAGGCCAGTGGGAGCTCTTCCTGCTGTCCTTAGAAGCTGATCTAGAATTTTATGCATTATCAGACTGGGCTTTAGAAAGATCATCTCTGGTGATGGTGGGAAGATGGAATAGAGCAGGCAAGACAGGAGTCCAGTCAGAAGGCCCTATTACTCTGGAGCTCAGCCTTAGGAAGGCCAACATTCTGACAATAGGTAGTTGGTTGGTCTTGCAGCTTGTCCATCATCTGGACCAGTGCTTTTCAAACCTTAAAGTGCATACAAGTCACCTGGTGATCTTGTTAATGTACAGATTCTGATTCAGTGGGACCGGGGTGGGGCATGAGGTTCTGCATTTCCAACAGTCTCCAGGCAGTGCTGATGCCATGGACCACAAGTAGCTGCAGCGCCTGCTCTTGGAAGAACTGGGACCAGCCACAGCAGATAAGGGCCTGGAATTCAGCCCAGAGGCCCGGGAGAGGAACCCAGTTATTAGTCTCAGGGCACAGGGTCAGAATGGAGTCAGCTGCAAGGCTGACTGATGAGGACCTCTCTGGAACTGGGGCTGTCTGTGCCTTCTTGTAGCCCCTACCTGAAGTTGGGGAAAGTGAATGCTTAGCGGTTGGGTGGAAATTAAGTGAGCCTGGGAATAGTGATTAGAGGGCAGAGGGGCATGATGGCAGGGAGGAGTTGCTGAGCTACAAGCCCTTGACCAGTTCAGAGCACAGGCTTTGTAGTCTGATACTGAGCTATTAACGTTTCTGCTTTGAACTCTGCTTGTATGTGACCCAGTCAAGAGGTGGTGTCAGGTATGAGCAGGGCCACAGGCCGTTGACCTGGGGCTACAGGGAGACCCGGATGTGGGTTGAGGAAACGGGAAAATAAATGCTTCAGCAGGTACCTGTTAATTATTCTTTAATTATTTACAAAGTATAACCTTAGACTCAAGCAAAAATGATATTGTTTGCTGTGTTTAAAAGACATTAAAGCTATATTTGTACGGTAAAGACAATTTTGAAAAATGCAGAAAATTTGTTAAGAGAAGAAAAATCAACCAGATTCCCATTCTCAAATGTCTAAGTGTTTATTGATGTTTTGTTTTACCCTTTTAGTCTTTCTGAATAGGTTAGTTTATTTATTTATTTTTTATTTTTTTATTTTTTTGCGGTACGCGGGCCTCTCACTGTTGTGGCCTCTCCCGTTACGGAGCACAGGCTCCGGACGCGCAGGCTCAGAGGCCATGGCTCACGCGCGCAGCCGCTCCGCGGTATGTGGGATCTTCCCGGACCAAGGCACGAACCCGTGTCCCCTGCATCGACAGGCGGACTCTCAACCACTGCGCCACCAGGGAAGCCCTGAATAGGTTACTTTAAAAAAAAAAAAATTTTTTTTTAATCAAAGCAAACTAAAATATTAAACCTAATTTTTTTTTTTCTTAGAGACTTCAATAAAGAGGCCAGGCTTGTGTGTTTTGTTTGTTTGTTTGTCTTATTGTTGTTGAACATTTAAAAACTTTTGAACAGAGCACAAGTCTTAAGACCCAATTACACACTGGTTTCCTCACAGCAGCCCAGGCCTGCCCGCAGGTTATATAGGGAACCGCGGAGGACAGGAGCCAGTTGTACTCATGTCAGTTGGGCTGGGATACACAGGCAGAACTCCATGACAGGGCGTGCTTGGGAATATTTGCCCTGAGCAAAAACATGGGCTGGAAAACCCTATTAAACCTATCTCCTGCTTTATATTTTAAAAAATGAACCAAATTACAAAGACTGTCTTAATTCTTCTTAAATAACATGTTTCTTTTTCTTTAACCTTTAGGAATTTGAAATTTTGTAGGTACTGTGTCACCATGGACGTTTGGGTCCTGTATTTAGGAAGGGCCTGTTTAATCCTCTGGTTAACACTTTACCCATGTAATAAAGGCTGCTGTTTATTTTCCTATTCAAATTTCTGAGCAAACAGATACAGTGAAAGTGTGTATGTTTTGCAGTTTCCTCTTGGAAACTGCTAACACTGCATAATGTCTGAGTACTTAATGACTAACACTGAGGGAAGAATAATCTGAAAAGTGAGGCCAGTGGTTTCCTGGTCTTGAGGAGTAATCCTTAAATGGTGTACAATTGTAACACTCTTATAATACACTACACAGTCTTTATGCTGGCAAATTCCTGAGTCACACGATCTCAGATGGTGAGGAATTGAAGTCTTTGTAAGGGCCTCAAGAATTTAGCTTTGAGCTCTTCCTGCCACAGATGGCCCTTAGAATTTCACATCACTTAATGAAATGCTGCCAGAGTAAATGAATCTGTGGAAATGAGCATAGTATTCTCCAGCTCCTGAAATTTTTCTGCACTGCATGAAAACACAGCTGAATGCACACGGGTAGACCATGCTCTCTAAGGGTCTAAGTAAATAGGTGCTCTGAGAAGTTAAAGAAAATCACAGTCAGTTATGCAAGACAAGTTCTAGAGCTCTGCTGTACATACAACATTATGCCTATTGTTAACATAATGTATTGTGTACTTAAAATGATGTTAGGAGGATAGATCGCATGTTAAATGTTATTACCACACACAAAAAAAAACAGAAAAGAAAATCTTAGTCTGACTATTGCTTTGTTAGGACCTCAGTGTCAAAGATGGTTTGATTAGCATTTCTAATTATGAAAACAGCCCAATCATTAGAGTGCCCTTATGAACTAGTCTTACTTTCCTTTTCAGTTATTGGATCTTTCTGTGTCTGTTCTCAAACAGATTGGTGGACTGTAGAGATTTACCTGCTACTAATCCCATATATTTAGATTTGATGCTTGCTTTCTTTCAGATACTCTTCTGAATGGAGATATATTATGTAGAAGTTCTTTAGTTAATATAATTTTACTTTTAAGAAACAATATCTGTGCTGTCCTTTAACATGCATGAGTGTAGACAGTCAAAACTACATACATACACTGTTGCATGCCACCAACCTGTTTTTTTGTTTTTTTTTTTTTTTGCGGTACGTGGGCCTCTCACTGTTGTGGCCTCTCCCATTGCGGAGCACAGGCTCCGGACGCGCAGGCTCAGCGGCCATGGCTCACGGGCCCAGCCGCTCCGCGGCATGTGGGATCTTCCCAGACCGGGGCACGAACCCGCGTCCCCTGCATCGGCAGGCGGACTCTCAACCACTGCACCACCAGGGAAGCCCTGACCCTGGGTTTTGATAGTGGATGAAATGTCTAAAGGAAGAGCAATAGTTGTCAGCTCTCAATACACGTTAGAATCACCTGGAAGGCTTTTAAAATTGATGTCTGGGCCCCAGGCCCAGAAATTCTAATCTAACTGGTCTGGGGATAAAACCTCCTCCAATGGTATTTTATAAAAGATCTCCAGGTAAATGTAATGCACAGCTAGAGGTGAGAATCACTGGCATAGAGTGAATTTTCTTGATTTGGGGTCCCTTGGCTTCTAAGGGGTTCTTCTACTCCTAACATTTAAAAAAATATTTTTAATTACCTTTTTTATTATTTTTTAACATCTTTTTTGGAGTATAATTGCTTTACAATGGTATTCAGCTATACTCCTAACATTTTTATACAGACTGCAATGTCTGTATGTGCATTGGAAATTTTCGGGAGTGGTGAGTGAAAAATTTATCAGATTGTGAAAAGAGTACGTGACTTTAAGTTGAAAATGATTAGTTGAGGAAGAGGAAAACTACTGCACTTCGCTTCTGTCAGCATTCTTGTCAAGGGCAGGTAAGGAGAAGTTAGGCAAACATGCTAAGTACTGCAGGGCTCAGCTGTAATGAGGCCTGAGAGCGACTGGACTGTCAATTTGACTCTTCCGATGAGCTTTGGGCCTCCTTGGTCCAGCCTAGCTGCAATTGCCTGATCTCATTGGTTCAATAAATGTTTATTCTGTGCCCTCTCCACTCCCCAGTATTCATGAAGGCATCTGGCAAAGTTCTGGGTACATGAAGGGAAACATCAGAAGAGCTAGATTGAGAGTAGATAGAAAAGGATCTCGAGTTACCCAGAGAGGTGAAGCGACTCACCTAAATTAACACCAGTCATTACTGGCAGAGGTAAAACTAGAAACTGGGTCTCCCAGTTGTGTCTACACCTTTTTGAGTTATATTTTTAGGAGTTAGGACTTTCTATAAGCCATGGGATGGATAGGGGTAATGTCAAAATACACTTTTGGAAATTTATCCACATTGATACCAAGATACACTTGATGGGGAAAAGGCCACCCTGGAGCAGGGAGGCTGGGTAGGGGGCTGCTGTAGGCCAAGTGAGAGGAGTGTTTGGGGAAAAGGGGAGCTTTTGCTGACCCTGTGTTTTGTAACACACGGAGGAAAAGGGGCTGACAGAAGTGAAGTGAGCCTAGAAAGAGATGGCTTGAAAGTGGGTTGGGGTGAAAACAAGGGAGGAAGGGACCAGATGGGGTGATTTTTTTCTAATGTCATGGTTGTGTAGCTCATCAGAAAATTATCGAGCTCCCTTCTTCAGGTTGGTTCTGTAGACTTGGCTATGGAACATCCTACTCTGACCCTGACAATGCATGAGACCTTCTGAATACATTCTGCTCCTTGCCTGATGGCAGTCACTACTCTCCATGACGAGTATGATTTAATCCAGCCTTAGAAAGGACCACGACTACCTCTTACTCAGGGCAAGTAAATAATTTGGGTTTGGACCACTTGTGACGGGAGCTATATACTAGCCATTGCTGTTATCACTAGCTGATCACCTACTATAAAGAGATAGTAGCTGTTCAGGAAGAAGGACTCCAGGTTTTGAGAAATAATTTAGGTGAAGGCAAACATTTTTTTTTTTTTTTTTTGCGGTACGTGGGCCTCTTCACTGCTGTGGCCTCTCCCGCTGCAGAGCACAGGCTCCGGACGCGCAGGCTCAGCGGCCATGGCTCACGGGCCCAGCCGCTCCACGCCATGTGGGATCTTCCCGGACTGGGGCACGAACCCGCGTCCCCTGCATCAGCAGGCGGACTCTCAACCACTGCGCCACCAGGGAAGCCCCAAACTTTTTTTTTTTTAATGTGAGAGCTGTTTAAATGTTTTAGTGTAATTACATGGATATATATTTGATAAATAAAAATTAAAAGAAAATACTAAAAAAGAAGGAACATTGATACCTAATAAAAGATTTATTTTTATTCCTGCTCTAACAGAAAATCCAATGTATATTAATTTGTTCACAGGCGCCTTCCAGTGGGAGGAATTGGAAGAAGATATCAGGAAGAAGTTGAAAGATTCTGGGGATGTTTCAAATGTAATTGAGAAAGTTAAATGCATTTTAAAAACACCAGGAAAGGTAAATTAGTTTATTGTAAGTTAGTTTACTTTGACTTCCTCTGAATTATAACTGATATACTATGGATGAATATACTGAGTCGTGAGGAGTGTCAATAATATATAGTTTTCCTTAAGTATATTTTTTTCCATTTAAATATTTTAAATATACACACATGATTTCTTGCTATCTCTGATTTTAATTCATGTAAGAATTCAAATATGTGTGAGTCATGTCTTTAAAATGTTGGTTTGTGAATTCCATTCTCTGAGACATTCCCCTGGGGCTCTGGGAATATGCAATCTATGTCAAGAATGAAGGGCTGTTGAATTTGTCCAGTTACAGTTAAGCTTGCTGTGGGGGGATGCCTTCTCACTGCTCACGATTTCACTCCAAACAGCTTTCAGGGGCAAGGCAGTTTTCTGTGTGTGTCTTTTTCAAGAGTTCTGAGAAATCTGTTTGACTAGGTAGACAGTTAAGGATTTGTTTCTCACCTAGTATAGATTTAAAATTGTACATTAGGTTCAAAGATTATAAAAATGTAGACTTCGTATATGGTCATAAACTTGTACACATGAAAGCTCTAGTAACTGAGATTGTGCAGAGTCTATAAGGGCCTTAAAAGTAGGTTTGTTAAATTTTAAGATGACTGCATTATACAGTTTAGCCAGTGTATTCTTATTTCAGATTCTGTGATAAACAAATTGGCTACAGTAGATAAAAAAGGTAAGTTGTGTGCAATGCTTAGCAGAATATAGGTTTATATTAACTGTCAAAAAAAGATTGTTTCTTTAATTTTTATACAGATGACTGTCAATTCTACCACCTAAGTTTATTAACAATTTAAGTTAATATTTTCAAACTGCATCAACTTTTATAAAGACTCCCAACTATTCTTTAATTGAGAAAATGATCTCTCTCTCTCTCTCTCTTTCGTTTTTTTAAACAAAGTAACATGGAATTAAGGGGCAAGACCTTTCTTTTCTGGTTTTAATAACACATTGAAGTAGGTACACAGAAGCTGTCCAGTTGTACAGGTGTATGGCAGGGTGGTAGCTCTCTTACAATCTAATTCAACTAAATAATTCTTTTGTAGAAACGTGCACATAAACTTGCATTCTGCTTTTCATAAGTTCCCTGGATTAACTTGTTCATGGACCAGTGAAAATGTACATCTGTATTCTCTGCAAACTTCTGCCCTCCCACTTTTTTTCAAATTCAAGACGTAGGTGAGAGTTCCCTGGTGGCCCAGTGGTTAGGATTTGGGCTTTCACTGCCATGGCCTGGGTTCAGTCCCTGGTCGGGGAACAGATCCAACAAGCCACGTGATGCAGCCAAAAAAAAAAAAAAAAAAAAAATTCAAGGCATAGGTGACAAGGAAATCTGTTATACAGATTCATAAGCTGTATATATCCATACCTGAAATAAATCTACATATATTCATGATGTACAAATTCATAAGCTTTATATAAATGGTTAGAATGGAAGTGTTGCCTTTTGTTCTAAACCTGAGCCTTTCCTTGGGTTGGATTCTGAACACAGTCATTCCTTTGAGTACCAAGAATAAAACAAATTCTTCTGGGGGAAGGGAAAGCTGGGGACTATATTATTCCATGAAAGTGAACTAAATTCCCTCCTTTGCAAAGGAGGACAGAAGAGTTCTTCTGTGGTTTCTTCCTGTGCTTTCTTGGGGTAATAAGGGTCTCTCTCCTTCATTGAGTATTGGGAATCAGAAAGTAAACATTTAACTTGTGAGTCTGCCACAAATAACCTGTGGCTTTGAGTAAGTCTTCTCAGGGCTTTTTATAAAATGAGGGATAAACTGGCTGATTTCTAAAGCCCCTGCTACCTCTCAGGTTCTGGTGATGCTTTTTCACTGTTCCTCTCCTTTATGTGTGGCAGTCACCCAAACCCTCTCCACGAGTTCCTTCAATGTGTATTAAAGTATATTGTGTGTAGGACCTGAGACTATAAGAGCAGGATTTGTATGATCCTGTTTTGGTTGTCTGTTTTGCTCATGGATGTCATTCTGGAGTGTATGTTCTTTGGGAGGAAGGGTAACATTTTTTCCTTCTCTCCAGACATTTTAACTTTCCACCATAGTAGATTAACCCAGAGTGGGGAGTAGGCGCCGTTTATTCTTATTGCTAAAGTTGTATGCTTGATTATTTCTTAGGGATAAAGCTTTCTGAATTCCCTACCTAGCCAAACAGAGGGTCAGAGTCTGACCCAGGCTGAGGTTCTGAGCGTCAGCCAGTGAAGTGGGTGATGGGTGAGGGAAGAGAAGCTGGCCCTCAGTTTCTGGGGTTGGCAGAAAGGATTGTCTGAAGCATCGCAGAAAGGATAAACAAAGCACCAAATCCTGAGTGGGGAGCAGAGGAAGGCTGGAAACCCCCAGGTCAGACATGGTGTTCAGGGAGCCTGCCAGTTAGCAGTTGTGAGAGGACAGATAGGTGTGGTCATGGAACAGGTTCTTTAGAGCTCCAGGTTATAGATGCAGGCAACCTTTGATAATCAAGATTCCAGCAATGATGACTGTGGGCAGGAAAGATATTTAGGATTATAAATTTGCAGATTAAGACAGAGCTGAATTAATCCATCGCTCTCAGGTGTTTTAGTGTTGGATCTAGTGAGCAGTAGGACATGGTGTGATAGGTGAAACATACGTTTTCTTAATTACAAATTAAGTTTTGTGTATATATTTTCTTAATTAGTGAATAAACAAACAGGTTGTATATGCAAACATATTTTACTAGGTGTTCATGTGAGATTGCACTACTGTTGTCTATTTCCCAGCTAAAAAAAGCCCGTGGGGGTTCAGGACCCCACAGCTTCTCAGCTGTAGAGTCGAGTTTTCACTTAGCCAATTCCTTCACCGCTGTGAGTGCTGCATAGGGCAGTGTTGCCCATTGACAGGTAGCAGATGTAGTTCTTGAGGGTAAGTTTCCGTGAAAGCTGTGATCAGAGATGCCATAGAGTAGATAATCATTACTTCTTTAGACATTTAGCACAGTCTTCCAAATTCTCTAGGCAAATTACCAAAGCATATTGTATAACATTTCCCCTTGTATTTTTATTTTTCCTTATAGTTTAATTGCCTGAGGAACTGCAAAACCTATCAAGCCAGAAAACCTCTGTGGTTTTATAACACTTCCCTCAAGTTTTTCCTTAATAAACCAATGCTTGCTGATGTTGTCTTCGAAATACAAGGTATAGTTCAATTTTTACAAAGTTCATTATTCATTTTTCTTTCTTGTTTTCTTACCTAACGTTCTATTTCAGCTTCGAATATTTTGGGTGAAGGAATGACTGTTCTCTATTGTAGGATGTAGATTAACATGGCTTGAATTTCTCCAAAAATTTTCTAGGGAAATGAGATATCTTATTAAAATAAGAAAAGAAATGTATATATTTTTTTCCTTATTTTTATTTCCTTACCCAATGTTTTGTTAACTTTTAGGCACCAGCAAGGGATGGGGTGATCTGTAATATCACCCCCTTGTATATTTTTGTTTGTGTGTTTCTTTAAGATCCTAGTTTTTGAATCATCTGAAACCAGCCCCCTTAACATTATATTACCTCTAGTTTATTTTTTCAGCTCTCTTAATTGAGCAAAAGGAACTACTCTGGTTGAGGGTCATGCCTGGCTTACATCAGGCATCCATAGATATTGCTACATTTTCTCCTTATGGCACTCAGAATTATCACCAGAGCAACGGAGAGCTGCTTTTTATCTCTGTAGGAAAGTAATGCTACCTAATTTTAATAAACATGAGCTGTTTTAATATCCATTATTGATTATTCGCTTGGATACTTTGGTCACTTTAGTAGATTGAAAGCATAGTATTAAAAATGAATTGTGAAATACCTTCAATTATGCAAGAAGGCTCGAAGGAGTTGTTTCAGATGACTTAGGTAGCACTTCAGGTGGGCTATTACCAAAAGGAAGATATAATTTAATTTTATGGTAGAAATGTATGGCAGCTAACAGTAATTTACTTTTAAAAAATTTTCCCCAGAAAGATCATTTTACTTGTAACTCTGGTCACTTGCCAAGACAAACAGTGAATTGGAAACTTTCCAAGGTGCCTTTGGCTAAGCTACTGTTAGGAGCTGCAATGTGAGCGTGGGCCACTGAGAATGGGACAGTGAGTGACCTTGAAATTATATAAAAAATGATTTGGAAAAAAGAAGTCTAACAAGGGACTAAATTTGCTTATAATTTGCATAGGAAGCACTGACACCAAACATTGTTAATGTAACCTACTGAAAAGATTTTCATGGGGAATATTTAATGCATGAAAATATATGTTGTATTAAGAGAAAAGAAACAGCAGTGATGTGGAGAATCCTTTCTCATAGTCTTTCGCTTTTCTTCCATGATTCCACCTACCGACCCTTTGCAGGCACCTGCTCACCCCCCACCTTTGCAGACGCTGGATCTGCAAGGGTTCCTTGTAATGCCTGTGCTGATGCTGAACGGCAGCTGCTCTAGTGCCCTTTGTAGCCTCTTCAGCTCAACAACCAAGGCCTCCAAGGGAATCAGGAGCAGAGTGAAGCAGGGATGGGTGGAAGCAGGGTCCAGCAACAGCTTCTCTGCCAGAAGCTGGAGGAGAGGCAAACCGCGCTCTGAGGAGCGTGGGGAGGGCAGCTTGCAGCGTGTAGAAGCAGCAGTGTTGTCTGCCCTGGAGGAGGGTCTGGAGCCCTAGCTCTAGCCTTGGCTTTGCGTTCCAACCAGTGTGTGTCCTTGGGCAAGTCCTTAATATGTCTGGCCTTGAGTCTTCTCATTTGTAAAGTGGAGAAAGTGAGCCATGTAGATTCTAAAAGGTCCTTTTTAGTGTTAAGCTTGATGAGATGATAGTAACAGACCAGGTCAGGGTCTTGCTTGGATGCATATTTACTATATATAATAGGTTTATATATATATAATATATAATTATTTATATATAATACTATATATAATAGGTTTTGTTGTGTTACTTTACATTTCTGATCCTCTGTTTCCTCACCTATAAAATGGGGATACTAGTTTCTACCTGGGAGAGTGGTGAGTGGTCATGGAGATGGAGATGGTGCATATAAAGGTGTGTTTAGAGGCCTGATGGGCAGACTCCACTACTCTTCCCCTACAGTGACATCCAACACTGGTGGATCACTGCTTTTTTTGTGTGCTGAACCGAG